GACGCACAACCGGACAACTACACACCTAGCATATTAGGCTTTTATTCTATAGGATTGATTTCAGAGAGGAAGGAAGAAGGAAAGAGAATCATGGACCTGCTGCCTCCTGCACGCCCCCTCCTGGGGCTCGAGCCCCCAACCCCAGGCATGTGCCCTGACCGGGAATCGAACCCGGGACCTCCTGGTTCATCGGTCGATGCTCAACCCCAGAGTCATGCTGGCCCTGCACCCCCATACATTTCCAACCCCCCCCCCCCCGACCAGAGCAGTGGGGTTGTATTCTGCAAAGAAACAACGGAAAAGAAATATTCTGAGCAAATATTTTGTTTCGGGATTCTGTTGTTTTATGACTTTTCCTAAGCGTGTATTTATTTGGCAAGCTCCACGGCGTTATACGGATGACTAGTCTGTGTTTCTCGTGGAGGGCTTACCACATGAGGCTCAAGGGGGGGTGGGGAAGTGATTATGGATCATGTTCTATTCATGTCATCCTCGTTTTGAAAATTAAATCTGTTATGCCACATTAGCTCAGAGATATGAATATTTTATTAACGCCAGCGCTATAAATTGCAGGGGGAAAAAATGACTTAGAATGCTAAAACGCACTCAGTTCCAAGGAACTTAATTTCTTAAGGATATATTTTTCATCTGGAGAAAAAATGTATTCCAAATGACTGCACTTCCCTCGTTACCACATCATTTCACTGTCGTTTTAATAATTCATATTTCTCAACATATTTTAAAACCCTTGAAAATAATCAAAAGCTCCATGCAAACGTGAAACGATTTGAAAATACTACTTTCATCTAGGAATCTACATGTTTGTTAAGAATCACAATAATAAGCCCGACCAGGTGGCTCAGTGGATGAGCGTCGACCTATGAACCAGGAGGTCACAGTTCTATTCCCGGTCGGATATCCTGGGTTGGAGAGGGTGCAGGCCGGGCTGAGGGACCTCCTCCCCCGTGCACGAATTTCATGCACTGGGCCTCGAGTACATGCATATGATCCTATATAATAAAAGCCTAACATGCTAAGTGTCTGACCGTTCGTTCAACCGTTCAACCGCTCGCTATGACGTGCACTGACCACCAGGGGGCAAACGCTCTGACTGATACGTGAGCTTGCTGCTGGGGTCCAGGCGATCGGGTCTGAGCGAGACAGGCCAGACACGCCCTGGAGCCCTCCCGTGGCCCCTCCCCGGTTGGCCAACCTCCCGCATCCCTTCCTGACCCCGATCGTGCATTGGTGGCATCCCTCGGCCTGGCCTGCGCCTTCTCACCATCCGGGACCCCTCAGGGAATGTCGGAGAACCGGTTTCAGCCCCAGCCCTTTGCATACTTGAGGGCCTTTGCAACCCCCCAGCCCACATTCCCTGTAAAACTCCCATTCGGCATCCCCTTCCCCATGCAATCCTCGTCCTACCCCACTTAAGCAGCTGGCTGAGGTTGGGGTGCAGAGCAGGTTTCGTGGCGAGCCTCCCTCGCCCCAGACCTCTCTGTTTGCACGCCAGGGGCGACCCAGGGCTAAGGGCTCCCCATGCTGTAGCTCAGCGCCGACACCCAGAGCAGCCGTGCGTGGCTTGGCCCTCACGCCTCAGGAGTGACACAGCCCAAGCCGTCCGACACGCGACTAAATAGACAAGCCGCTCCGCAACGAACGAGGACAGAGACGCCAACGCGTGCCAATAAATTCCTGGAAAAAAACCCCCACAAAACTCCTGCTAGGGCGGTTAAATTCTTAGAGACGCGCATCGCAAGAGCCACTTACTCAAACCCAACATCCAAAACCCAATGTTTATTGATCGGATTCTGTGCTCTGAGTGTTACTGTCGTGCTAACATCACAAAGACAGATGTGGGTGGATCCGCTATTCTTGCTCATCTTAGCGAGTGTTTAATCGATCGCATGAGAATATATGGGGTGGGCCGGGAAAACAAGAACAGACTTCAAATGAGTGTGGGACTCTCAGCCCAGCCGGCTGGCGTGGCTCAGTAGTCGAGAGCCGACCTAGGAACCAGGAGGTCACAGGTTCGATTCCCGGTCAGGGCACACGCCAGGCTGTGGGCTCGATCCCCAGTTGGGGGGGGTGTGTACAGCATAAGGAATCCTATATAATAAAAGCCTAATATGCTAAGCGTCCGGTCGACCAGACGGCCGTTCAACCAATCAAAGTGTAATATGCTAATGATATGCTAAGGCCGCTCAACCGCTTGCTATGACATGCACTGACCTCCAGGGGGCAGACAGTTGACCTGTCGACCAGTCGCTATGACATGCACTGACCGCCAGGGGGGCAGATGCTTTGACCGGTAGGTCAGCTTGCAGCTGGGGTCCGTCCGATCGGGACTGAGTGAGACAGGCCGGACACACCCTGGAGCCCTCCCGCGGTCCCTCTCCGGCTGTCCAACCTCCTTAATCCCTCTCAGACCTGTTCATGTACCAGTGGGGTCCCTCGGCCTGGCCTGTGCCCTCTTGCAATCCAGGACTCCTCGGGGGATGTGAGAAAGCCGGTTTCAGCCCGATCCTACAGGCCAGCCCGAGGGACCCCACTCACTGGTGCACGAATTCGTGCACTGGGCCTCTAGTCTATCTATCTATATAAAAGGCTAAGTGACCACCCGTCCGTCCGCCCGACCATCCGACCAACCGACCGGCTGAACATATGATGCATTCTGGCAATTTAAAAATAAAAGTTGATTCGTGCACGCTCGATACCTATAAAGCTCTCGCTGGCGCCACTAATATTCTAACTAGAGGCCTGGTGCATGAATGTGTGCATGGGTGGGGTCAGGCTGGCCTGCCCCAGCTGTGGGAGGGGCCTTTGGGGATCGGGAGTGGAGGGGCCGACCAGGGCCAGTGCCGGCCAGGGGGAGGGGCCAAGGGTGGTTGGCAGCCGGCCCAGCCCCTGGTCGAACTCCCGGTCAAACTCCCGGTGGAGGGGACAATTTGCTTATTAGCTTTTTATCCCATAGGATACCTGTGTGTGGTATGAGGGGTATGAGATTTTTTGGGGGGGATGGTCAGTTTTATGTCTAACCCCAGGGGTGCACACCGGAAACTAATGTAACAGTGTATGCCAACTGTAATTGAAAAATAAAAAATGATTTAAAAAAAAAAAAGCGGGGGGGGTGGGCGGGAGAGGGGACCGGGGCACCTTGCCCCTCGAGGCCTGAGATTCCTGCGGGGTCTCTTCTTAGGGTAAAGCAGGGAGGCGCTGTTTATGGAGAGAAAGGACTGGTCAGAGGCCTTTGGATTCGGGCGGGGAGGTCGGCCTGCTTGGCCACCAGGTAAAGCTGCTCCGATAGTGCACTGCGGGCGCGCGAGGGGGCAGCGGCTTTGCAATGCAGCCCCACTCAGATTCCACCTCCCCCTCTTGCAGCGAAGTCACTGGGAGAGCTCAGAGAGGTTGAGCAACCTGCCCAGAGTCACACAGCCTGCAGCTGATCGAGGAAGTGGGCGCTCCCCACAGCCAGCAACCCGGCCTTCCCAATAACGCCCCGTAAAAAGCACTGATGGGCCCAGAAATGCAACGTGGCACCCCCAACCGTGGACACAGCCTAGTCCCTGGGGTCCGCACCCTGGGACAGCTGGACCGCCCGGAGGGGGTAGGGGAAGAACCACTTCCGGGAAGCAGCCGCGAAGGGGACCAAGCACTTCCGGTGCTCCGTTCCTGAGGGTCGTTCGGGGTTAGCGCACTCATAAGTGACTGAAACGCAGAATACAGGGCTCCGGAGGAGACAGTCTGGGCCCTTGCCCGGACTCGGGGTCCTTTAGGTCTAGCGGCGCAGTGCGCGCAGCCATGATGAGTCCAGCCATTTAAATAGAGTAGGCGGGGCCCAGCGGACCCTCGCGTCGGCGCCATGACGTCACTGACCCGCGCGGGTAGGCGGGCCTCCCTGGAAGGGCTCAAGTCAACCGTGGTCGCGCTTGGTAGGCGGAGCCGTATTGAGTGACGGCCAGGCTCCGCCTTCCGGTTGAGGCAGGGAGGTGGGGCGTTCAACACGGAAGTGTCTTAGGCCTGCTTGGGTAGGGCGGGGCGGCATTGAGTGACGGCTCAGCCCTGCCTTCCAGTTAAGGCGGGGGGCGGGGCGCCGCTCAACGCGGAAGTGTCTCAGGCCTGCCTCCATAGGTTTGTGACGGCTCGGCCCCGCCTCTCGGTTAAGGCGGGCGGTGGGGTGGAGGGGGCGTTCCACGCGGAACGGAATGGGTAGGCGGAGCCGCATTGAGTGCGGATTCAGCCCTGCCTTCCAGTTAAGGCGGGGACGGGGGGCGGGGGTAGGAAGGAGGGGTGGCCCATTCAACACGGAAATGCCGCAGGCCTGCAAGGGTAGGCTGAGCCGCACTGAGTGACGGCCTGGCCCCTCCTTCCGGTTAAGGCGGGGAGGTGGGGCGTTCAGCACGGAGGTGCCTCAATCTTGCATTGGAGGGCGGGGCGGGATGAGGGCAGAGCGGGGTGGTAGGCGGGGCTGCATTGAGTGACGGCCTGGCCCCTCCTTCCGGTTAAGGCGGGAGGTGGGGCGTACAGCACGGAAGTGCCACAGGCCTGCATGGGTAGGCGGTGCCGCATTGAGTGACGCCCAGGCTCCTTCCGGTTAAGGCGTGGAGGTGGGGCGTTCAGCACGGAAGTGCCGCAGGCCTGCTTGGGTAGGGCAGGGCGCCATTGAGTGACGGCTCAGCCCCGCCTTCCAGTTAACGCGGGGAGGGGGAGGGACCGCCCAACACGGAAGTGCCGCAGGCCTGCGTGGGTAGGCGGAGCCGCATTGAGTGACGGCCTGGCCCCTCCTTCCGGTTGAGGCGGGGAGGCGGGGCGTTCAACACGGCAGTGCCGCCCGCCTGCATTGGTAGGGCGGAGCGTGGTGAGGGCGGGGCGGGTTTGGGGCGGGCTCCGGCCCCCAGACTTTGCTAGGGCGCCTTGTGGGCTGGTTTTGTCGCCCTGGGCCTGGCATGGCGGCCACCTGGGTCCTGCCTCCTCCAGGCCGCGGGTGCACAGTGGGCATGCGCAGTCCGGGGCGGCCGCCTGGGTCCTGTCTCCTCCAGGCTGCGGGTGCGCACTGGGCATGCGCGGTCCGGGGTGGCCACCTGGCCACTGAGCCCCCATCCCTCGCCCCCGCCCATCTGCAGTCATTAAAGCAAAGCTGAGGCTCGGCTGCAGAGGCCGAGCTGCCTCCCTCACGGGGCCCAGCCAGATGCTGCAGAACAAAGGTTGTAGGTTCCTAAATTGGGGGGCCTGGGCCTTGCGCCTATTCTGATGGCCCTGGAATTGGGGTCCCGGAGCCCCAAGTGGGGATCCTAGTGAGCAGCAAGCTGGGGGCAGGATTTCAGCCACGGGGCTGGGGAGGGGGGACACATCTGCCCTCCGAGGCTCCAGCAAAAGGAGCCATTTAGTTAGATTCCTTACAGGTATCAGGGGGTGCGGGTGCCATTGCTTGGAGCCTCCAGCGCCCTGGCCAATCATGACCTCAGATTGTCCTAAGAAACTCGGGGGTGAAAAATATCGCGTGATTGAATAATTGGGGGCATCCATTTTTTTGTTTGTTTGTTTGTGTTTTGTTTTGTTTTAAGAAAACGTGGATGCCCCGAATGGAGATGGGAGGGGAGGGAGCAGGGATCTGTCTTTGCAACTGAGGGATGCATGTGCAATTAATGGATGCATTTGCAATTGACGGATGCATTTGCAATTGTCGGATGCATTTGCAACATGCAAATGTGTGCATCCTTTGGGATGCGCCCTGGTCCAACGATTGCAGGTCTCCCCAGTACAGCGCTCCCCACTCACAAAGTTACAAAAAGGTCAAAAGACCAGGTGGCCAGCCAGTTGGCACGGATCCATCTTCCTCTTGCCAAGAAATGAAGCAGGAGGCTGAGCGATCTAATGAATAAATCGCGTATTGTGCAACCCCCTGAACAGATACGGACTGTTGTAACCTCATTTTTTTTCATGAATAAAACTCTGGGGTCAAGGTGGGAGGGAATAGGGAAAACGTATCCTTGAAGGATTTGGGTGTTCGATGAGCCTTTAATTGTGCAAATTGGAGCTCAGCACAAAGAATTGTCTACGCAAAGAAAGGCTTTAGAGTCATGATTAGCTTATTATACCGACTTAGAGCATTTATCGGTATTTTTTTTTTTCTTTTTTTTCCCTGGTGTGTGTGTGTGGCCACCTTCGCAGGTGGAAGGAATGAAGCACATCAACCTTTCCTTCGCTGCGTGCGGATTCCTGGGCATTTACCAGTTGGGGGCAGCCTCGGCCTTCTGCAAACACGGCCAGAAGCTGCTGAGGGACGTCAAGGCATTTGCGGGGGCTTCCGCCGGGTCCTTGGTGGCTTCGGTCCTGCTCACAGCACCAGAGAAAATAGAGGTAATGGGGTGGCCGCCTTCCTTGGCCAGAAATCAAATCCAGCAACAACACCAGACGCTCACACTCAGCTAGCTGCATGCTTTGCCTGGGAAACAGAAAAGCTTTTAACATTTAATCATCAGGGATCTGGGCTCCAGATTTGGGAGAGGGGACTGTTCTGGGTGACAGTGAGACAGATAAGATAATGTCTTATATTACCCTCTTTTTTAAAAAAAGAATATTTGTATTGATTTCAGAGAGGAGGAGAGAGAGTGAGAGAGAGAGAGTGAGAGAGAAAGAGAGAGAGAGAGACATGTCGATGATGAGAGAGAATCATGGATTAGCTGCCTCCTGCACGCCCCACACTGGGGATCGAGCCCGCAACCCGGGCCTGTGCCCTGAGCAGGAATCGAACCCTGACCTCCTGGTGTATTTCGGGCGGGCATTGGAAATATTGGGGGCGTCCCTTTGTAAAGCATATGATTGTCTAATCCAGTGGTTCTCAACTTTCCTAATGCCGCGACCCTTTAATACAGCTCCTCATGTCGTGGTGACCCCCAACCATAAAATTATTTTCATGGCTACTTCATCACTGTCATGTTGCTACTGTTATGAATTGTCATGTAAACATCTGATATGCAGGATGGGTTTTCATGGTTACAGATTGAACATAATTGAAGCATAGTTTTGATTAATCACAAAAACAATATGTAATTATATATGTGTTTTCCGATGTGGACATGATGAGGGGGAGGATGGCTTGATTCTGTCTCCCTCCCAGGTGCTCTCACCGTACTGTGAGTGGATGAACGAACGAATGAAAGAATGAATGGAAGACAGGCCTGGGTTCCAACCCTGCCCATGGCCCTCATTGTTCAGGGCAAATCAGGGAAGACCCTTAATCTCTTCAACATGTTTTCTTACCATAGTGTAAATGAATGAATGAATGAAAGAAAGAAAGAATGAATGAATGGAAGACAGGCCTGGGTTCCAACCCTGCCTTTGGCCCTTACTGTTCACGGCAAATCAGGGAAGGTCCTGAATCTCTTCAACCTATTTTTTCACCATACTGTGTATGAATGAATGAATGAATGAGTGAATGAATGAAACAATGAATGGAAGACAGGCCTGGATTCCAACCCTGCCCATGGCCCTCACTGGTCATAGCAAATCAGGGAAGACCCTTAATCTCTTCAACCTGTTTTCTTATCATACTGTGAAGGAATGAACAAATGAAAGAATGAATGAATGAAAGAAAGAATGAATGAAGAACAAACGAATGAATGAATGAATGAAACAATGAATGGAAGACAGGCCTGGGTTCCAACCCTGCCCATGGCCCTCACTCTTCACAGCAAATGAGGGAGGACCCTTAATCTCTTTAACCTGTTTTCTTACTGTACTGTGAATGAATGAACAAATGAATGAATGAATGAATGAATGGAAGACAAGCCTGGTTTCCAACCCTGCCCATGGCCCTCACTGATCACGGCAAATCAGGGAAGACCCTTAATCTCTTCAACCTGTTTTCTTACCATACTGTGAATGAGTGAACAAATGAACGAATGAATCAGTGAATGAATGAATGGAAGACAGGCCTGGGTTCCAACCCTGCCCATGGCCCTCACTGTTCACTGCAAATGAGGGAAGATCTTTATCTCTTTAATCTGTTTTCTTACCTGCCAACTGGGAGGTTACGCATATAAACCACTTCGAAGGGTTTGAGAAGATGAGCTCACGGAGGTGGGTTCCCAGGACCCACGAAACGCCAGGGCCAAGACCGCCCTCCCACGACTCTGACCCAGTGCTGGCAAAGGACAGCCCTCAGGACTCCTCCCTCTGCTATCTGTGTGGTCGCTGGCAATCAGCGCTGCTGCCCTGGCCGGTTTAGCTCAGTGTCCAGCGTGTCGGCCTGTGGACAGAAGGGTCCTGGGTTCGATTCTGGTCAAGGCATGTACCTGGGTTGCAGGCTCCACCCCCGGACGGGGTGCACGCAAGAGGCAACCCATCCATGTGTCTCTCTCACATCCATGTTAGTGGTTGAGCGTCCTCCTAGGAATCAGGTGGTCACGGTTCGATTCCCGGTCAGGGCACATGCCCGGGTTGCGGGCTGGATCCCCAGTGGGGGCGTGCAGGGGGCAGCCGATGCATGATTCTCTCTCATCGTTGATGTTTCTATTTCTCTCCCTTCCTCTCTGAAATCAAAACAAATATTTAAAAAGAAAACAGCAGGATTGGGGACAACAGTGGCTCGCTTGGGACCAGGAATGGTGGGTGAGGGTCAGAACGCTGGAATCAGAACGGACCTTTTGACGAAATGTCGAGTCGCCCGTTCACGTCCTTTTTCAGGAATGCATCCAGTTCACCCACGAGTTCGCTGAGGACCTACGAAGGCAGTCCTTCGGGGCCGTGACGCCCGGCTACGATTTCATGGCCCGACTGAGGTACGGGTGTGTGTGGGTCCCCGAGTGCACTCCCACCACGGCGTGAGGACTCTTTATCGACCGTGACAAGGTCAGCCCTGCCCGTAGTCACCAGACAGTCGGGACTGAAAGGCCTGGCTCCGTGCCTGGAGTGTTGGCCTGCAGCCAAAGGGTTCGGGTTCGATTCCGGTCCAAGGCTCGTTTCTTGCTTCAAGTTGCATCCCCAGTCTGGGTCGGGGTGCATGCAGGAGGCAACCAATCAATGTGTCTCTCTCACATTGATGTTTCTCTCTCTCTCCCTGCCCTTCCAGTCTAAATAGCAATGGAAAAAATATCCTTGGGTGAGCATTAACAACAAAAACATCCTATATAATAAAAGCCTAATATGCTGAGTGTCCGGTCGTCTGGTCGTCCACTCATCCAATCAAAGCGTCATATGCTAAGGCCGCTCAACCGCTTGCTATGACGTGCACTGACCACCAGGGGGCAGACAGTCGACAGGTCGACCAGTCGCTATGATGTGCACTGACCACCAGGGAGCAGACAGTCGACAGGTCGAACAGTCGCTATGATGTGCACTGACCACCAGGGGGCAGACAGTCGACAGGTCGACCAGTCGCTATGACGTGCACTGACCACCAGGGGGCAGACGCTCCTACCAGTAGGTGAGCTTGCTGCTGGGGTCTGGCTGATGGGGACTGAGCGAGACGGGCCGCACATACCCTGGAGCCCTCCCATGGTCCCTCCCCAGCTGGCCAACCTCCTGCATCTCTCCCCGGCCCCAGTCATGCACCAGTGGGGTCCCTCGGCCTGGCCTGTGCCCTCTCGCAATCCAGGCCCCCTCGGGGGATGTCGGAGAGCCGGTTTCAGCCCCATCCCACGGGCCAGGCCGAGGGATCCCACTGGTGCATGAATTCGTGCACCGGGCCTCGAGTAGAATAATAATACCCGGCCGGCGTGGCGCAGTGGTTGAGCGCCGACCTATGAACCAGGAGGTCAGGGTTCGTTCTCGGTCAGGGCACATGCCAGGGTTGTGGGCTCGATCCCCAGCAGGGGGCGTGCAGGAGCCGGTCGGCCCATGATTCTCTCTCATCATGGATGTTTCTCTCTCTCTCCCCCTTTCCCTTCCTCTCTGAAATCCATAAAAATATATTTAATATCACAAAAGTTGTAGGAAATACACTTTTGTGATATTATATATGTTAGTACAGTTTTGGTAATATTATATTTAAAGTCTTTTGTGTGAAATATTAATGTTTATTGCATTTAACCTATTATACTTAAAATAGTTTTTCTTGAAATATTGATTATTATTGCATGGAACATTATTATACTTATAATCGTTTTTCCTGAAATATTAATTGCATGTAGCATTATTATACTTAAAATCGTTTTTCCTGAAATATTAATTGCATGTAGCATTATTATACTTAAAATCCTTTTTCTAGAAATATTAATGATTGCATGTAACATAATAAAAAATAAAAAAATTAAAATATATACATATTTAAAAAATAAATACTAACAACGATGAGAGGGGAGTGACGCGGCCACGTTCTCTCCCCCAGACAAGGACTGGAGTCGATCCTGCCCCCCAACGCCCACCAGCTGGCCCACGGCCGCCTGCACGTGTCCATCACCAGCACCCGGATGGGGAGGAACTCACTGGTCTCCAGCTACTCCTCCAGGGAGGACCTCATCCAGGTAACGCACTCCTGGGGGAGGAAGTGGGCATCCGTGCCCTTCGCGCCCGTGGCTTCCTGTCCTGGCTGGGATGGGCCGGCCGGTCCGCCGTGGGACCCATGAACGGGTCAGTCCCGTGGGAGCCTCGCCGCGTCCAGCACCCTTGAGTTCATTCTAGAAGCAGGTCTCCTGTGCCTTGAGTAGCAACAACAGCTCCTTAGATGAACGTAGCTGACACTTGGCAGTTTAGGGAAGACGTTGTGCCTGTGCTATTTATTTTTATTTCTTTATTTCAGAGAGACAGGAAGGGAGAGGGGGAGAGAGAGAGAAACATCCATGATGAGAGAGAACCATGGACCGGCTGCCTCCTGCACGCCCCCCACTGGGGATCGAGCCCGCAACCTGGGCATGTGCCCTTGACCGGGAATCGAACCCGGGACCCTTCAGTCCGCAGGCCGACGCTCTATCCACTGAGCGAAACCAGTTATGGCATCTTCCTTTTTTTAAAAAAATATATATATTGAATTTCAGAGAGAGGAAGGGAGAGGCCATCCATTGCTGAGCCAGACATTATCTCTCTAGGGTCCTTTCTGATATCCTATAGAATAAAAGCCTAATAGGCTAAGACTCCGGTTTTCCTGTCGTCCATTCAACCAATCAAAGCGTCATATGCTAATGATATGCTAAGGCTGCTCAACTGCTCACTATGATGTGAACTGACCACCAGGGGGCAGACAGTCGACCGGTCGACCAGTCGCTATGACATGCACTGACCACCAGGGGGCAGACCGGTAGGTTAGCTTGCTGCTGGGTTCCAGCCGATCGGGACTGAATGAGACGGGTCAGACACGCCCTGGAGCCTTCCATGGTCCCTGCCCAGCCCCGATCGTGCACCAGTGGGGTCCCTCGGCCTGGCCTGCGCCCTCTCGCCATCCGGGCTGAGGGACCCGCCCCCCTCCCCGAGTGCATGAATTTCGTGCACCGGGCCTCTAGTTGACTATGTTTTCTTCTGCGTAAGCCCGTGCCTTGTGCACTTACAACGGACGTAACGTTTTCTTTCTTACAGCAATTTAAAATTTTTTCTTAACGACGTAGAATTTTGTAGGAAGTCACATACCCAGTCTCCGGTCTGAGTGTGAGCGCCTCTCCGTGCCTGAGCCGTTTTTCCGTTTCCTCCCTCAGGTCCTCCTGGCCAGCAGCTTCCTGCCCCTCTACGCAGGCCTGAAGCCGGTGGTGTACAAAGGACAGGTACGCTCTGATCCCTGACCCATGATCAGGGATCCCATGGGGATAAGTCCCCTTTGATGAACCCAATGCTATAATTATGCTTCCTGGTGGTTCTGAATCAGCCCACTGGGCCCTCGTGGCTCTGCTTAAGTTCCAGACAGAAAATTCTCGTCTCCAGCCCGGCCGGCGTGGCTCAGTGGTTGAGCCTCCACCTAGGAACCAGGAGGTCAAGGTTTGATTCCCGGGCAGGGCACATGCCCGGGTTGCGGGGTCCATCCCCAGTAGGGGGCGTGCAGGAGGCAGCCGGTCCATGATTCTCTCTCGTCATGGATGTTTCTCTCTCTCTCCCTTCCTCTCTGAAATCAACAAAAAAAATTTTTTTCCCCAATATTAAATATTTATTTATTTTTACATACAAAAATATTTTACCGGGCATATGGAATCCCACAGATTGAACATTTCAGTAATTTTTGTTTGGGGCACTGTATGGAAATAGGCGAAAAGAAAAATTTCATAGGGGCAGCTTCTGAAAAATCAATAATTGGATTACAGAAAAAATTTTATGTATACAAGGACAGTTAATATCTCTTTTACACAGGACTTAGCAAAAACAATGACTTGGCAAGCAGTCGCGATTAATTTTTATTTTTAAACTTTTCATCAGAAACGTACTTTGGCCGCTTGCCGAGCTTTGAGTTTAGGTTGCCAACAAGGTTTTGTCCTCTGTTAAAAAAAGAACGAAACAACTTCGCACACTAGAGGTTATAAAGAGCTTGCATTTGGGTTAAAATATAAAGGTATACCAAAAGGAAATGGGGTAAATCCCCCCAAAGCAAGGTTAAAATAAATATCTTTTAAAAAGAAACAAAATGTTGGTTTCCAGCGAAATAATAGAACCAGGGGCCCAGTGCACGAAATTCATGCACCCGTAGGGTCCATAGGCCTGGCTGGCGATCAGGGCTGATCTGGGGGGCGATCAGGGGCCCCCCCCGCTGGCACCAGCCTTGGCTGGCCTGGGGCCTGTGGGCTGGGGCAACTCAGAGCGTCTGCCCCCTGGTGGTCAGTGCACGTCATAGCGGCCGGTCATCTGCCATTCGGTCGATTTGCATATTAGGCTTTTATTATATAGGATTGTGTGCAATGGTGGATGGTGAAATGCCAGAGTAAACGTGGCTTCCCACTGTGATTCGAGGACTCGTCCTGACCCAAGGACAGGGCCTCGGACGCCTGCACCGGCATCCGCACAATCTGAGCCTCACCCTCCTGAACACAGTCAAGTTAACTTCTTTTTTTTAAAAAATGTATTTTTATAGATTTCAGACAGGAAGAAAGAGGGGGGAGAGAGAGAGAGAGAAGCATCCATGACGAGAGAGAATCATGGACCGGCTGCCTCCTGCACGCCCCCTACTGGGGATCGCGCCCGCAACCCAGGCATGTGCCCTTGACCGGGAATCGAACCCGGGACCCTTCAGTCCGCAGACCGACGCTCTACCCACCGAGCCCAACCGGCCAGGGCCAATCGAGTTAACTTCTAAACCATTGGCCAGATTCCCCGGTTCTGGTCGGTTCTCATGCACCAGGGGGGGTATGCTATCAGCACAAACATTAGTTTTTCTCCCCACGCAAACCCCCTATGGGACTGGCCCCGGTCACTGGTAATCCAGGAGCAGGTCCCAGCACAGACCGTCGAGGTCTCCGTACACACGCCCTCCGCCTGGCAGCCGCAAACCCCCTATGGGACTGGCCCCGGTCACGGGAAATCCAGGAGCAGGTCCCAGCACAGACCGTCGAGGTCTCCGTACACACGCCCTCCGCCTGGCAGCCGCAAACCCCCTATGGGACTGGCCCCGGTCACTGGTAATTCAGGAGCAGGTGCCAGCACAGACCGTCGAGGTCTCCGTACACACGCACTCCGCCTGGCAGCCGGGCCCGGCCCACGTGTGACAACGAGTTTCCCCCCGCAGACGTGGGTGGACGGCGGGTTTTCCAACAGCCTCCCCATCCTTCCCGGGGGCCGGACGGTCGCCATCTCCCCCTTCTACAGCCGCCTGGACATCTCCCCGCGGGACAAGGGGCAGCTGGGCGTCTACGTCACCATCGCCAAACAGGACATCCTGGTGAGTGAGGAGCACCGTCCCTAAAATCCTCCCCGTGCTCCGAGATGGTGAGCTCGCGTATCGTCTTCTGTACAGACTGCGTGTTCTCGGCGGCAAGTTTCCTCTTTTACTTTATTTTTTTTTTTGAAAATACATTTTTATCGATTTCAGAGAGGAAGGGAGAGGGAGAGAGAGAGAAACATCCATGAGAGGACACAACTAGGGACCGGCCGCCTCCTGCACGCCCCCTACTGGGGATCCGGCCCGCATCCCAGACACGTACCCTTGACCGGGAATCCAACCGTGACCTCCTGGCTCCTAGGTTCACGCCCTACCACGGAGCCACGCCGGCTGGGACCTCCTCGTTTTATTTTTTATTTTATTTGTATTACTAGAGGCCCGTTGCAGGAAGATTCCTGCAAGAATAGGGCTTCCTGCGGCCGAAGGGAGGCGGGCTTTACTTCCATCTCCGCTGCCTCGCTCCCTCCCTTCTCCGCTGTTCCACTCCCTTCTGCAGCGCTTGACTTCCATCTACGCCCTCTGCAGTCTTCGCGCTGCGCCTCCGTATGCAAACTCACCACCATCTTTGTTGGGTTAATTTGCATACTCGCTCTGATTGGCTGGTGGGCGTTGCGGAGTGACACCAATTTGCATGTTTCTCTTTCGTTAGTGTAGATTGCTATTCATCAGGTGACAGATGTCACGCACGCCGACCCTCATGGCCCTGCCCTACAGCCCCACCCTGTCTCTCTGTCCTAGCTGTCCGTGGCCAACTTGGTGCGGCTCAACCAGGCCCTGTTCCCGCCCAGCAGGCGGGAAATGGAATCCCTGTACCACGGCGGCTTCCGGGACGCCGTCCGGTTTTTGCTCAAGGAGAACTGGTTCGAGTAGAGGGCCCCCAGGCACGTCCCGCGTCTGGTGGGGTCGGCGATGAGATTTCCGTAAGCCGTCAGAATTCTGTCACAGTTACCGGACTTGGTCACAGTTTTCGTCATTTTGAAAAGTTAAATGTTCACTGGCTGCAAAGAAAGGCGAGGCATTTCATGAGAAGGTGGCGACGTTGTTAAGGGCACAACCCGGGATGCACTTAATGCAGATGAACTCCTGCAAAACACGGAGACCCAAGCCAACCTCGAAGCCTTGGGAATGAGAGGTGAATCCCGCTCATTCGGCCAGCGTGGCTCAGCGGCTGAGCTCTGACCTTGGAACCAGGGGGTCAGGGTTCGATTCCCGATCAGGGCACATGCCCGGGTTGCAGGCTCCATCCCCAGTCGGGCATGCAGGAGGCAGCCGATCGATGCGTCTCTCTCCTCATAGATGTTTCTCTCTCTCTCTCCCTCTTTCCCCCTCTCCCTTCCTCTCTGAAATCAATAAAAAAATGTTTTATTTTTATTTTAAAAAGAAAGCGACTGCAGATGATCATTCCTTCATGAGTTCCCATTCATTTAGCAGGTTCGAACTCGAATCTTCCGTCTCTTTCCCTGGGGTCTGCTGAGCGTGACTCCTAACGTCTAAGAGGCAGTTACCAACGAGCCCGTTTGCGAGGGCCGGCCCTTCCTGGTTATGCACCTGTCTTTTCTGCCGTTTGAAACCATCCTTTCGATCAATGTTATGGCCCTTAAAAGCCTCCGATAGACGGCATTGAGCACCCACGCCCCGACTGCTGTCTCTCTTCTCCGCATCTGGGCACAGGCTGGGCGAGCAGCGGCGTTCCCTGGCGGGGGTCCGGCTTTGTCCGGAAGGTCACCCGGAAGGTCGTCGGGAAGGTCGTTCGGTCTAATTAGCATATTAGCTCTTTATTCTATAGGGTTCTATCTGTGTGAGCGTTTAATGAATTCTTTACGGATGCCTTCCCAAGCAAAAACGCATCTTTTCTTTTTTAAAATATATTTTTATGGATCTCAGAGAGGAAGGGAGAGGGAGAGAGAAACATCCATGATGAGAGAGAACCGTGGACCGGCTGCCTCCCGCACGCCCCCTACTGGGGATCGAGCCCGCAACCCAGGCATGTGCCCTTGACTGGGAACCGAACCCTGACCTCCTGGTTCCTAGGTCGACGCTCAACCACTGAGCCACCCGGGCCGGGCCAGAAGCAAATCTGAATGCTCTGGATGTTGTAAACGTATTTGGTGCCGACAGCCTGCGCCCGTGACCGTGTGGCTGGCTGGTGTGTCCCTGGAGGATGGGGTAGGAGGGGTGACACGGGTCTGCAGAAGCCGGTGGGGAAACGAGACCCTGTCACCAGGCGCATGGCCTGTGTCCTCCAAGCGTGTCAAACTCGCAGCCCATGGGCCGCCTGCGCCCACAACGAATATTTCTGCGGCCCAGCCAATAGGACGGTCTGTAAGAAACGTTTTAATACACGTTTTCTCACTTAATTTCTACACTATCCTGTTGTACGTCATTATTAACCACACGACGTTCGCTAATGACTGATGACTGTCATCGTCTTGCATTCATGTCCCTCAGGCGCCTTACGCAGGCGCACCATCTCCCCCCACTGATACCGGCAGCGAACCTTCTAGCAGCCGATGGCCGCATCCTTCGTCTCAGACTGACTTGCCTGGTGTGCGCAACAGGAAATACCTTGCTTCCGGAAAACGAGAGAAACAGGTTTATCTGCCTGACGCTGATTCATGAGTGCCGTTATCCGGTGTCTGGTGAGTTCAGGTTCGAGAAAAAACACTAATTTTTATTAAAATGTTCTATTATTTTCGCTTCCTCTTTTCAGGAACGCTCCTTGCTTTGTAACTATGGCAACCCACCGACAATTAGGGAAGATCGATGTGGTTGTCAGGGTAAGCGATGCTCTGACAGACCAGGCCGTATTAAACAACAAAACTCCGCCACCCGGGGGCCTGGGATGTCGCCCTGAGCGTCAGAAGCTGGCAAAGCGCCCGTCGTAGGCTCGTGGCATCGGCGGGGTGGGTACCCGGTTCCCGCCGATATTTGTAACATCCTTCACGGCCGTAAAGAACCATCCACTTTAAACATGGGCCTGCTCCACCGGGTCAGACGTTGAGTAAACTCACCCCATGGCCTTGGCAGGGCCAGGCCCCATGATCTCCTGGGGCTGACGTTCCCCACCTCCAGGCCATCTGCCTCTCAGGTTTTCCGATGCCTGTGACGTGTGCCCTATACACGTGCAATTTATTTACAAATAAATAAGCAAAATGGGACGCGTGGGAATGATTTTCTAAGCAGAACAGGGCCATGACAGACAGTTTGCAAACACCACGCTAACCCGATACACACGGTATCTCAGAATGACTCGCCGGAGACCCACGTCATGCTGTTAGCTAACCTCACCTCCGTAAACTTTAAAAAAAGATGCACATAAAGACGTCCCCTCTTGTATTTATGAACTAGAGGCCCGGTGCATGAAATTCCTGCACGGCTAGGGGGGTGGCCCTCAGCGCAGCCTGCACCCTCTCCAATCTGGGACCCCTTGGGGGGTGTCACTCTGGGATTGGGCCTAAACCGGCAGTCAGACAACCGTCTTGCAATCCAGGACCGCTGGCTTCTAATCACTCACCTGCCTGCCTGCCTGATGCCCCTAACCCCCTCTGCCTGCTAGCCTCATTGCTCCTAAGTGCTCCCCTGCCGGCCTGATCGCCCCTAACCGCTCTCCCCTGCCAGCCTGATCGCACCTAACCGCTCTCCCTGCCGGCCTGATCGCCCCTAACTGCTCTCCCCTACCTGCCTTATCGCCCCTAACTGCCCTCCCCTGCCGGCCTGATTGCCCCTAACTGCTCTCCCCTACCTGCCTTATCGCCCCTAACTGCCCTCCCCTGCCGGCCTGATCGCCCCTAACTGCCCTCCCCTGCCGGCCTGATCGCCCCTAACTGCTCTCCCCTACCTGCCTTATCGCCCCTAACTGCCCTCCCCTGCCTGCCTGATCGCCCCTAACTGTCCTCCCCTGCTGGCCTGATGGCCCCTAACAGCCTCTGCCTTGGCCCCTGCCACCGTGGCTTTGTCTGGAAGGATGTCTGGAAGACGTCCGGTCTATCCGGCTAATTAACATATTACCCTTTTATTAGCATAAGTATTAATCGTACGAAGGATTCCGGTCCGTCATTTTTATCGCCGAGGAGCCAGAAGTCAGGGAAGGTCACGGTGTTGAGGCTGCCCTGGCCTCAGCCGTGTCTGCGCCAGAGCCAAACACAACGGAGATGGCAGACCTCGCAGCCGCCGCGGATCAGGAAATCAGTCACAATCGCCGAGGCTACTATTTGCCGAGACACGGCTTACGTGGCCGCGCTCACCACGTCATCAGCTCTGCCCCACATCGGCCCCTGGGACACAGCGCCCGCCCACCCGCTGTGAATCCGTACGTGCAGGCATTCCTCCCGCACCTCCCCTCTGGTCATGCCCCCGCTCCCACTGCGTCAGGAGAGGCAGCCGCAGGATTCCAGCACGCAGTCTGGCACAGCTCAGAATCGCAGCGTCCTGTCCGCCTGCGTCGGGTAATGGGGCCCGGAGGACATCGTGCTAACCGGGAGAAGCCAGTCAGAGGACGACGAGGGTCCCCCGACCTCCCTCGTCTGTGGGGTCGATGAGCAGCATAAACGGACGGAGAAACTAGAAACAGAGGCCTGAGTGCATGGCACAGATGGACCGGTCCCAGAGGGAGGGGGGCGGGGAGACGAGAGGTTCACCAAAGAACATACATGCAGGTAGGCATCGCCCGTGGGCACAGACAACCGGGCGGAAAAGGCCTGGGAGGGGTCAGGGGCCGGGTGGAGGGGGGCAAACAGGGGGACAAGGGGGACAATTGTAACACGATCTGCCATAAGAATAGATATCCCGCCCTGGCCGGTGTGGCTCAGTGGATAGAGCGCCGCCCTGCGGACGGAAGGGTCCCGTTCGATTCCCGGTTAGGGCCACATGCCCGGGTTGTGGGCTCGAACCCCAGTGGGGGGCGTGCAGGAGGCAGCCGGTGCATGATTCTCTCTCATCATGGATGTTTCTATCTCTCTCTCCCTCTCTGTCATCAATAAAAAAATCTATAAATCCCTCTTGCTTCCTCTCTGAAATCAGTAAAAATATATATTTTTAAAAAATCTATATATATAAAAGCCCAGTGACTGAACAGTGGAATGACCAGTCGACCAGTCGCTATGATGCCCACCGACCACCAGGGGGGCAGACGCTCAACGCAGGAGCTGCCCCCTGGTGGTCAGTGCGCTCCCTCAGCGGGTGGATCCCCACAGGCCACGGCCCCCCCTCCCCCCGACCAGTGCACGAATCCGTGCACCGGGCCAATAGCGAAAAAATAAAAATGGTTCCGCCAGCCCTAGCTGGTGCGGCTCAGTGGATAGAGCGTCGGCCTGCGGACCGAAGGGTCCCGGGTTCGATTCCCGGTCGAGGGCACGGACCTGGGTTGCAGGCCCCTTCCTGTGTTCGCAGTTAAATGCCGCTAAGTCCATGCAGACACATGCATCGTTGATAGCAGGTTGGTCATAGTTTACACAAAACACAGCCCTCGACTGGAATCGAACCCGGGACCCTTCCATCCGCAGGCCGACGCTCTATCCACTGAGCCACACCGGCCAGGGCCGATGAAGGGTGTTAATGGGGGGTGACTGTCCCCGTTTTAGACTTAGACCGATGGATCGCACACACGCTAAGGAATTTCTATTTAGAGCGGCCGTAGAAAACTACGGTAACAGAAAACAGTTTGGTTTTTTTTTTTCAAGCAGAAATGATTTTCTGTGCGACGGTCGGCCGCCCTGGAATTAGGTAAAATATAATTAAGACTCGTGCTGAGCGGAGAAATAAAGAGGAACCCGTTTCGAGTGCAGCACCGATCACTCTATCGTGCCGTGTTGACCCGAACCCTGACCTCCTGGTTCCTAGGTCGATGCTCAGCCCCTGAGTCATGCTGACCACGCGGAACCTTTCTTTAAAGGCGGGAGGGCGATGACTGTGGGGTGATGCCCAGACGCTGTGCCCAACTCTCCCCCCCCCCCCGTGACCCTAGCGCCATATTCGTTACGTCTGCTATGAAACTCCATCTTTAAACCTTGTTTGTGACCATCAAGCACCCCCTGCATTTAACTTGTTCCCTTTCTCGCACCTGAAGCCTCTTAGCACGGACCCTGGCCTGTACTCAGATCTCAGTCAATAACGATGGGCCAGCCCGGCCAGTGCTGCCCAGTGGTTAGCGCCCCCCGACGAACCAGGGGGTTCCGGGTTCGACTCCCGGTCAAGGGCACCTGCCCGGGTTGTGGGCTCGATCCCCAGTGTGGG